TGTATGAGTTGGCAAGACTATTGATTACATGTCAAGCCTAGGAAACATGACAAGGACTACTAGAAGCATGAGTTGTAAGATTCTCTTATCCTTATTAGTGAGGTGTCAAACTCTCATAAGAGTACAATCTTTAGAGCAAGAAAGACAAGTAGTTAATGCAATGAAATTATCTATAAATAGGGGTGTAAGGGGTCACTATCTATGCATACCAAAAACTAAGAATTCTCTCTATATTTATCTAATTAAGCTTGAAGAAAGGAATCAAAGGAAAAGTAAGCAAATCAAGGTGAGTACTTATGTGATTTATGAGATACATGTATGCTATATTTATAGAAGTATTTTATGCATTACAAGTTATGTTGGCATGCTTTGTTTTACATGAAAATATTGATATATATACATATTCAAGATATGCATGATGACATGTTTTAATACAAGTATACATACAAGATATGAAAATCATTTACATGTTATCATATGTGTTACACAAGGCATGAAAACTTTTACATGTTATGTATAATCATAATATCCAACGTACGGAATATTACAAGAAGGAACGTTTTGTAAACGAACCTTATAGGGCAGCCTTTCATGGACCCGGGGGTTAGCAAACCCCAAGACAAGTATGGTATACATGCATGTGACAAGTGAGATCTCAAAAGAATGTTTTATACATGATAAAGAATATAGTATTTTATAAATGTTTATGTATGTAAAGAATATTTTTATACATGATCAAGAGCTTTTATAAATTATCATTTACAAAATATCATGAAAATTTCTCATTCATGAAACTATAAATACTCACTAAGCTTATAGCTTATATATCTCATGTATGTATCTCAGGAAGGAAGTAAGAAGGACTTGCGTAAAGTATAATGGTTTTGGTTTTTAAAGCAAGATTTGTTGTAATACAAATTATGGTTACGTTTCCGCTAAAGTAGCTTCTTCTTTGATGTATATTCAAGATATGTATTAAACTAAAGAAAAATTTTCAAGTTCAGATTCAAGAAAGTGTAACATGTAAAGTAATGGTTCTCATTTGATAAAGAGATTTGGGGCGTTACATGTATCCAACATGTCCGGGCATACACATTTCAGCATGGTTTGACCTAGTTTGTAGGAGACGGATGACGGCAGCAGTGAGGAGGGTACAAAGCGTTGTCAGTCACGGGAGTGAGTGAGGAGGATGTGGGATGATCAATTGAGACTAGACATGGCGGCCTTAGATGTGAGTGAGGACATGATATCAGATACGAGTTCTTGGAAATAGCACATAGGGTATCAGATTTGGGTAGAGTCAGGTAATAGGATGTCCCTTTGTATGTTTGTTTCTTGTGCATTAACTTCTGTATGTACTGCTTTATATGTTCTGCACTCTAGTTTGACGTCTTGTTCTTGGCCTTTTGTGCATTCTTTCATTTTTATGCCATTTTCTAATGTCCCTTCCTCGCAAGCTATTCTAACTTATTCCTTGCTTTATGTTTGTATCCTAAACCTTTTAAGAAAAAATTTGTTTAATAAGACGAAGGTCTTCACTGAAACAACTCTGTACCCCTAGGGGTAGAGGTATGGTTTGCATACATCATACCCTCCCCAGACCCTACCTCCTCCTGAGGGGATATACTGGATATATTTTGGTTTGGTTTGGTTTACATGTAGTTATGCTGTGCATTAGGGTAGGCAGTTATCATGTGTAGGTACTTTAAGTTCTGTTCTCATTCACTCTACATGGAAACCAATTGAAGTGTTTGACCATTAGTCAAACTACTAAAAGAACCTTCAACGAGAACGAAATAAATGAATCTTGTGTACCGAAATAATACAATACTTTGTAACTCGACGATGGGCAAAACATGTAGTATTAGCTTGAATTTGCTAGAGGTATAGCTTTCAGAACACAGGGAGCAACAATAAGTGACCTAAGTGTCATTGGCCCAGCTCTAAGTGAGTTACTGGTAGAGCCCAACCTCCCTGGAGATCAAGCATTCAAGCCTCACTAAAGTTAGGAGCTGATTAAGTTTTGCTGTGTATAAAATATTATGTACTTCAAAGAAAAGGTGGCGTTATTTCTTTTCAATTCGAAATTGCCAATTACTAACCCTCAAAATACTACTTGGACAGGCATTTGTGGTGGACAAGTACAATAGACCCATGCCAAAACTGAGAAATACAACTCCAGAAACTGGCAGATACGAACAAATACCCGCTCCCCCAGGAACCTTAAACATTGCTCAGCTTCGCCAGATTATTCTTCTATATCATGGAAAATCCAACGATCATAAAGGGCCCATGGATGTCAACCAAATAGCAGAAAAGTTCCGTGTTGATGTTGCTCAGGTTCAACGGACCGTCCAGTTTCTTTCTCTGCCTCCAGAAAGTGCCAATAAACAGAAAAATGATCCAAGATAACCCAGCCATCATTTACCCATAACAGCATTCAGCTCGATACTACAGTTTCTTCGAGATGGTTAAACAGAGAATTATAGCAGATCATACTTGTTCGTGGCAGATACCTGCATCTGCATGTATTGAATAAAAACTCCGAGAAGCTTGGGAATTGAGTAAACACAACTTGTATGAATTTCTGTTGATTGTTTCTGGCATGCTGTGAAATTTACAGTTGAATAACACATTGGCCTACATGTTGTATGGCAGGCTGCAGGAATGCAGAATGCCCCAACTTTTTGTTGTCATGATTATGGTCGCTATCTTAGTTTTTTCTTTTTCTTGTTTTTGGATCAGATTTTGTGGTTTTAATTCCAAAAATGAACATGTTTTGGTTGGTAATTTCTTGTTTCTTAATTGAATTTACAAAATGGAGACAAAAAACCGTTCTAAAAAGGAGGAAATTGTGGTCAACGTGATAATTCTTGAGACACACTTATCATTGATTGTCGGCCGAGACTTCGGATCTGTGAGAGTGCATGCTAGTGTGACATTATAAACACGAAGAAGTTCCTTTTGTATCGTGCATCGGTTGGATAAGGGAGTCATGCATCCAATATATCTGCCACTGAGGTGCCGTGACTGTAAGATATGTTTAATTCCCTTCGAGTGAAAGATGGGTGAGATTTGATGGCAACCCAATTTGGTCAGAGATTCTTCCTTCAAGATTGCAACTATTAATAAATGAAGACATGGATGGTTGTGGAAGTTTTGAGAGTTGGCATCTATCTTCACCAACACTTCCTTCCTTGTTGCTTACAAGTACATTGACCACTTGAAAGAGTGTAATATGCCCACCAATCAGCAGCAAGGAGAGCTTCTGCTTCTGCTTCTGCTTCTAAAGATATGTGAGCAGTTGTTGGCGATCACATGAAAACAAGCCCCAATAACAGAACTAGAATTTGTATGGGAGAAGTAAGAGTAGGCCACATTCTTATGTTTTATCAATAGTACACGTTTCATCCCATTATATATATATATATATATATATATATATATATAGGGCCGGTCCTAAGATTTTTGATGCCCTGTACGAAAATAATAAAAAATGCCCCTAAACTTTTTTTTTAAGCCAAATGAAACAACGAAACATGCGATTTTTAAAGAGTTTAAAACATATTCAAGCTAAATGTATCATCTTCATGTTGATTTTTATTAATTATAATAAAAAATACAATTGGGGGGTGGGGGGGCATAAAAACCAAAAAAAAAATAAATACAAAATATAGAATGATAAAAGGATAAATCCTGGATTAAGATCGTGTTTTCTTCTTTTCCAGTTTTACCATTTCCAAATTGAAATTAGCAAAATAGAAACTTTATTTCAATATATGAGACTTAAAAGATAAGGAAAACTCTTAATTTTTAACTAAAATAGTAAATTACATCCAAATTACTGTCATATTAAGTAAAAAGTAAAACTCGAATGTTATAGGTCAATGACTAAAGGCTAAGAACCTATCTGTTAGCAGCTTAATAAGCTTAAAACTTATTCGCTCTACTAACTGTTTCGTAGTGGTTTAATGATATAAAAAGTGACTTATCTGGTAAGCTTCTAGGGGGAGCTTTATATAGAAAGTCAAGTTTTTCTTTCCAAACACGTCCCTTCCAACTAAAAACACGCTCCTTACAT